CAGTGCGAAGATTATTTTATCACCAGGATCTTGGTCGACGGAGGATCCAGCCTCAACATTTGCCCGCTAGTGACACTCAGGACATTAGGAAAGGGGCTTCATGAGATCAAGGATGGGGCTATCAACGTTAAAGCTTTCGACGGATCCCAAAGGTCTACTATTGGGGAAATTAGCTTGTGTTTGCAAATGGGGCCTACTTGGTTCAATGTTGACTTTCAAGTGATAGACGTGCCAGCATCTTACAATCTGTTGTTGGGACGACCATGGATTCATATCGCTAGGGTTGTAGCATCAACACTACATCAGGTAGTGAAGTTTGAGTGGAACCACCAAGAGGTGATCATTCACGGGGACGGTAGTAATCCCATATACAGTCGCCAGACTATCCCAGCAATCGGAGGCAGAAGAAAGATAGGTGGGGAAACTTACCACCACATCGAGCGAGTCAACGCCGTTGATAAAGACAAATGGTGGGACAACAAAATTGAAAGCATTTTGAACTGGAGTGGATATGAACCTGGCAAGGGACTTGGCAAGAATCTCCAAGGAATCACTAAGCCCATCAAGCTCAAGAAACATGGCACCACCTTCGGATTGGGGTATGAGTATACTTGGAAAGAATTCAACGACTGGTCGCCACCATGGCTCGGTCCTTACCATCCTTTGGAGCAGCCAATACCCCGTTTGGAGCAGACTTTCCAGCTGGCCGAGGTTATCTACGGGTCAGAAGAAGAAAAAGCACTGGCAGCAGTGAGGAATTTTTTCCTGGAAGACGATGATATGGATTGTTGTGTCGTTTTTTAGGAGGAGGGGGAGGAAGGCCCTTACATACAAGCTGTAAGCAGAGGAGCATGCCTCAATAACTGGACTATCAGAACCACCAGAGCCCGGCGAGCCTCGGGGTAGCAAGGCTGAACAAGCACCATGCACTACCTTTTATTTTTACTAGTTGACTTTCCTTTTGCATTTTTTATTTTTCGCAAGAAAGATGTTCAAAAACGGTTATGAAAGTTGTCAAAGCATTTCGATTTTCTTATAAATCTTACTCTTATTATTTTCTCTCATTACTTTACTTATACAGCATTACTATTACTTATCTTGATGAACCAAACGGACATAGATTCAGAGGAAGACGATATACTGGAAGAGATTGTTAAAGAAGTTGAGAATTTTGAGAATAGACCTAAGTCCAACCTGGACGAGACCGAAATCGTCAACCTGGGAGATGCAGAAAACATCAAAGAAACATGGATCAGCATTCATTTGTCACCATCAGAGAAGGAAGAATGTACAGAGTTTCTAAGAGAGTATAAGGACATATTTGCCTGGTCGTACGACGACATGACTAGTCTGAGTACGTCTATTGTGGCCCACAAATTGCCAACCGATCTAGCATGTCCACCAGTAAAGCAGAAGCTCAGAAAGTTCAAGCCAGATATGAGTTTGAAAATCAAGGAAGAGGTCACTAAGCAGGTCAAAGCTAAGGTTCTCAGGGTAGTGGAGTATCCAACATGGTTAGCCAACATCGTGCCAGTACCGAAGAAGGAAGGGAAGGTTAGAGTCTGTGTCGACTATCGGGATCTCAACCGGGCCAGTCCGAAAGACGACTTCCCCTTGCCAAACATACACATCCTGATTGACAATTGCGCCAAGCACGAGTTGCAATCATTTGTAGATTGTTTCGCGGGGTACCATCAGATCTGGATGGATGAAGAAGATGCTGAGAAAACGGCTTTCATTACGGCGTGGGGAATGTATTGCTACAAGATGATGCCATTCCGGTTAAAGAATGCAGGGGCCACCTACATGAGGGCCATGACCACCATTTTCCACGATATGATACACAAGGAGATCGAAGTATATGTGGATGATGTCATAATCAAGTCTAAGAAAGCCACTGATCACATAGAAGATCTGAGGAAGTTTTTCAACCGATTACGAAGGTACAACCTAAAACTGAATCCCGCAAAATGTGCCTTCGGGGTTCCTGCCGGAAAATTACTTGGCTTTATTGTGAGTCGCCGGGGAATAGAACTAGATCCATCGAAGATCAAAGCCATTCAAGAATTGCCACCACCAAGGAACAAGAAAGACGTAATGAGTTTCTTGGGGAGAATTAACTACATTAGCCAGTTCATAGCACAATCAACAGTTATGTGTGAGCCGATCTTCAAGTTGTTGAAGAAGGATGCCGCCACTAAATGGACTGATGACTGCCAGAAAGCTTTCGACAGAATCAAAGAATACTTGTCAACGCCACCAGTTTTGGTCACGCCCGAGCCGGGTAGACCGTTGCTACTCTACATCGCAGTGTTGGATGGTGCCTTCGGTTGCGTCCTGGGGTAGCATGATGAGACAGGAAAGAAAGGACAGGCCATTTACTACCTCAGCAAGAAGTTCACTCCATTTGAGGCCCGGTATTCTCTGTTGGAACGCACCTGCTGTGCTTTAACTTGGGTAGCTCAGAAGCCGAGGCACTGCTTCAGTGCCTATACTACATATCTCATATCAAGGATGGATCCTTTGAAATACATCTTTCAGAAGCCCATGCCCACCGCCAAGCTCACCAAGTGGCACATCCTGTTGAGTGAATTTGATATTGTCTATATGACCTAGAAAGCAGTCAAAGGACAGGCACTAGTGGATCACCTTGCTGAAGACCTTGTGGATGGAGAATACGAGCCCCTAAAGACGTATTTTCCAGAGGAAGAGGAATCATTCATAGGAGAGGATATTGCAGAGTCCTATGACGGTTGGAGAATGTTTTTCGACGGAGCAGCAAATTTCAAAGGAGTTGGCATAGGAGCAGTTCTAGTGTCAGAAACCGGTCAGCACTATCCAGTATCCGCCAAGCTCAGATTCCCGTGCACCAACACATGGCCGAGTACGAAGCCTGCATCTTAGGGCTCAAGATGGCCATCGACATGAACATCCAAGAGTTGCTAATAATTGGGGATTCGGACCTACTCATACATCAGGTACAAGGAGAATGGGCGACCAAGAATTCCAAGATACTCCCTTATCTGCACGATGTACAAGAGTTGAGGAAAAGGTTCACAAAGACAGAGTTCCAGCATGTTCCTAGAATCCAAAATGAGTTTGCCGATGCATTGGCTATCCTATCGTCCATGATACAGCATCCAGATACAAACCTCATTGATCCTATTCCTGTGAAAATCCATAATCAGCCAGCTTATTGTGCTCATGTCGAAGAAGAAACAGATGAAAAACATTGGTTTCACGACATCAAGGAATATTTGGCCAAAGGAGGATATCCAAAGCTTGCAAATACCACTCAGAATCGCACACTTCGAAGATTGTCCAACAATTTCTTTCACAGCGGAGGAATCTTGTATAGGAGGACTCCGGATTTGGGTTTGCTAAGGTGTGTCGACGCGAAGGAAGCATCTAAACTGCTGGAGGAAATTCATGCCGGGACTTGTGGTCCGCATATGAACGGCTTTGTCTTAGCCAAGAAGATACTCCGTGCTGGTTACTTCTGGATGACTATGGAGACGGACTGCATCCAGTACGTCCGAAAATGCCACCGCTGCCAGATACATGCAGATATGATAAGGGTGCCACCAAATGAGCTTAATGCAACAAGCTCACTATGGCCTTTCGTTGCTTGGGGGATGGATGTTATTGGACCAATCGAACCTGCCGCTTCCAACGGGCACATATTCATCCTAGTGGCAATTGACTACTTTACCAAATGGGTCGAGGCAGCATCTTACAGAGCAGTAACCAAGAAAGTCGTGGCAGACTTTGTCCGCTTCGGGATTCCAGAGTCAATCATTACTGATAATGGCTCAAACCTCAACAGTGACTTAATGAAAGCTATGTGTGAAACTTTCAAGATAAAACACAAGAATTCCACAGCCTACAGGCCTCAGATGAATGGAGCTGTAGAAGCCGCCAACAAGAACATTAAGAAGATATTGAGGAAAATGATAGAGAAGCATAAGCAGTGGCACGAGAAGTTATCATTTGCTCTATTGGGATATCGCACCACAATCCGCACATCAACTGGGGCAACCCCCTATATGCTCGTTTATGGTACAGAAGCCGTCATTCCCGCCGAAGTAGAAATTCCTTCCTTAAGGATCATACAGGAAGTTGAGCTCGACGATGCGGAATGGGTGAAGAGTCGTTACGAGCAGCTGGCTCTTATAGATGGGAAGAGAATGAATGCAGTTTGCCACGGTCAGCTTTATCAGAACAGAATGTCCAGAGCTTTCAACAAGAGAGTCAAGCCAAGACGGTTCACACCGGGGCAGCTGGTATTGAAGAAAATTTTGCCACATCAAGATGAAGCCAAAGGGAAATTCTCTCCCAATTGGCAGGGTCCATACATGGTTCATTGGGTTCTGGCAGGAGGAACCCTGATACTTGCAGAAATGGATGGAGAAGTTTGGACAAAACCAATCAACTCAGATGCAGTCAAGCGCTACTATGTGTAATATTATATTTTCCTATATGATGTAATTTGAACTACGTCTAACCTGATTCCCGTTTAAGAGGGGATACGTAGGCAGCCTTATGGGTTCGGTCACAATTCAATAAAATTTTCATTTCCCCCCGCAATTGGAAACTGGGGCAGAATTTTGAGGAGGACCCTCAAAATTTCGAAGTAATTTCAGCTGATCATCGCAAGCAGCCGTCAGAAGTATCAACCCATTAAACTGGGCAGAATTTTGATGAGGACCCTCAAAATTCTAAAGAGAGAGGTTGCAATGTCCTAAACCACGTCACAGTCGACGGTTCATCTAATAACCATTTCTTAAATATATACTTATGTCATATCTTTAACAAACTCATGCATGTTTATCGAAATCGCTTTGTTTAGCAACGCTACCCCTATGATACATACCGTGTCATCAGATCAGA